CAGCCAAAATCAATGATAAAAACGCATACTATTTAAGTAGTTACTTTTTACAGTATATACGTTTTTTAGTGGTCAGAAAGAAACCCGTTAAAAGCCCGCACCCTATCATGACTTAAATGACTTCAGAATAGACGACACGGTAATCTGAGTCTGTGCCGATTAGCAAAGGAGTATCAATCTTTTGCATATGTCGGCACATTGCACGAATTCTGGCGCATACTGTAATTATAATGTTCAGTCGGAGATAATTCGGACGTAGGTAATTTTTTCTATTGACAGGAGACACACCTTCTCTCACGTCTACCGCATTCTCTATATATTTACACAAAATTTGCATACTTCAGGCCCGACCATCTCTAAGAGTGGGTTTTAAAATATTTTTGCTCTAGGGTAGGTAAAATTACAACATTAAAATTAAAACTATTAAAGCGGTAAATGATTTCGCTCCAAATTCAGTCGTAATGGCGACATTTACAAATTATTTTGCCTCACCAAACTGGCTGACTTGGTGATTGCAAATCACAGTGGATGAATATAAGTATTCGATGATAACTTTCAGTGATATAACAGAGAACAGTGAATATTGTTCAGCGTAGCGAATATACTGACATGACGCATAGTTTATATTTTGCTGGGCAAGACTAAAACAAACCCGAACAAATCCAATGAAATTCTTTATCCCCAGCTAGTAGTATAGCTTAACCGGATTTCCGCCTGCGGGGAGTTAAAAAGAACCACAGGGCACAATGGGATGAGAACTCCCGTAACCCGGTGGGTGAGTGCCCGTCTACCAGAGTTACTCTAGTCGATCAAACCCGCCAGAAGAAACAGCCTGTGGGTCAGTGATGAAAAGTTTGACTCAATGACCAAAGATTCTGGGTTCAAATTCCAGATGCTGCAAATCCCAGTTTGTGTATGGCTGGCTGGTGATGATCATAAAGCCAGAACTGATCATCCTGGTTGCCTATCGTGATCGATACCCCCTGTACTTGTATATTTTGCTGTGTGAAGGTTGGCCTATTTATAGAATAGATCAGACTGCGTCTACTAATGAATGACCGGTATGAAGCAACAGAGTATATCAAGTGACAAGGCTCAAACTAGAGTTTTTTGATGCAGTTATCACGGCTAATCCGACGCATTACGGCCTTGGACCATATGCATCGTGCGTGCTAGGTTTTGAGCTTTTGATTCAAAGCCGGATTGCTATTGCCTGACGGAAGACATAATAAACTAAATCTAACAATGTGTACTTCTAAATGGCATCGGCTGCAGGTAGGGGAATGGGGAGAGAATGAGGTGGATGCAGCGTAACCGTATCGTCACTATTAATTAACGCGTCACCGCCCCTATGCCACTATACTGTGGACGTCATCGAAACCGGTGGCCAAAACGCCGTGTATAATTTTTCAACATTCACCTGCTGACGTGGGTTTGAGGTCGTCGAGCTTTTCACATTTGAGTCGGATTAGTATTTTCTGTTGTTAAAAATGGTCACGAGTCTAAATATTCCATCACATTAGTAACCCGATATTTCTATAAATCAAAATTTTACGAGAAAGAGAAGTTGAGAAAATGCTCATATTTATAGATGTTCCCCTAGAGAAAAGGGCTGATATAAAAAATAATTACAGCAAAGACTACAGCAAAACGATTTACGCAGAATTGAAAGGAACATTACTATGCTATCTATCACACTAAGAAGGTTGTTAACAGATTGGCTAATGGTAAAATAGCACACAGCTCTGAAAATGAAAGCTTACTAGCTGAAAGTAGTTACTTATTTGATATTTTTGCCGATCAATATCCTACAGATATTGTCAATCGATGTAGGACACCAAACGAGCCCAAAGAAAGAGTTCCAATTACATAACAAAATCAGATACCTGACCAACTTCTCCTCTCATTAAAAAAGTGATTCGGTTCTTTGAAAGACATTTGGGGGATCAAAAAAACACAAGTGGCATGCAAGTCGACGATTAAATTATGCACCCAAATTTGTAAGCATTAAGGAGGCGGCTGCCTATTTGGAGCAGGAAGTTGTCTACAAAATCCTACGTGATGTCTGCAGTATAGCAGGATGAATCTGCCTTTACACGCATTCACGAACAGCGGTTGGTAGAAAAGAAACAAAAATGCCTGCCCTTGGAAGCAAAGCATGCTCGAGATTGTGGCCAAACCTTTTGTTGAAGACCGAAGTCGCATTGTTTGTGTTGGCCTATTCAGGATAAATGTTTAATTAATTCATTCTGTCAATTTCCATCCAAAACTTCAGTTTTAAGGAGAGCTCACAATGGCGTGGACAGTTACTCTTCACTAAACAAACTAAATTATTTTGCGTGTTCCTATGCGCAACTTAAGTACTTGGAACCTTGATAAGTAAAGACAAAACGCGCAATTAGGCGCTTAAATTTGTCCTATCGATAAGAGAAAACCCACGAATACAGCATACTTAATTCAGTGCGCCAAGCATTTAACGACTTACAACACACAAGAAAATAGAAAGAAGGGTCATTAGGAAATCTGTGAACCTCTAAAGCAGCCTCATTTGGGATAGGCCTGCGTGAAAGTGTCGAAAAAATCATGGGTTGAAAATGTTTTCCTACACCGCCTTAAAAAGGTATAGATGCACGCAATCAGACGTAAATCAGAAGACCGCAGTTACGTGCTTTGGAAGGCATTCCGTCTTGATAGCAAACTGTTGTCCAGAAACAGTGACTAAAATCCATTAGCCGGATAAGAACCCTCCGCTACATTTTGCGTTTGCATGCCAATGCCCGGCAGCAACGAATCAGCAAGAAGTGTAGCAAGTCTAAACTGATGTCAGGCACCCAACTACCCTACTCAATCCTGCCTTAATCCCCAAAGAACGTTGGACGTGACCCACGCGCTGATAGAGACCTGTCTATACAGTTTATTTATTATTTAGGAAGTCAAGTTAGGCGAACGAACGTGTTCAATTAATTCATCATCAGGCATGTACAATAATGTAAAGGTTTAAGCAACCAATCAACGGTAATTGAGGGGGAAAAGTGGGAATTGTTAAGAGATCAAAGGGGCAGGGGGGAGGAGGGACGTGTCCAACAACTAGGTAATGTCAACTGGTCATCTCGTCGTCGCTTCGCGGCGTCTTAACAGCAGTTGTCACTGTCTGCTCATCGTCTCGCGGCATGATAGGAGATGTGCGGACGGATGTTGAGTTTGTTCTCGGCCACGGGAGCCGTAGAGCCAATACGAACGCCTACGAACGTCTAGTTCAACTGTCCGTCAGGGGATTCTTGCGACGCAGCCCACGAGGTCGTGCGTGCCCAACTTGCAAATACAGTTTTCGATTATTTTATTTTTAACTATCTGTTCGGTGCAACTGGAAGTTAACGTACCTGTACAGCTGCAAATATTTTGCAAATCTCGGACATTCCAAGCGCAATTTCTGCGCGAATAAAGACCCCTAACGGCAAACGTTTATTTACTGAGCTGGCTGCAACGACGCCACAAATAATTTTAATCCGACAGTTTCCCCGTCGATTTAGACGATGGACAGCCGCGTGCTCCAACAAACCGCAGCGAACGCTGAAACAAACCGAAGCAGACACTGAGGCAAGCTGGGCAAGCTGTACGAAGGCTGCAGCAAACTGAAGCAACGCAGCGAACTACCTCGAATGAAAAACGGAGTTAAAGCAGACTCGCGGGGAATCTACCCACTCGCTCGTCGCTCCCACATCCGTTTCCGGTGTGAAGACAAGGTCAGTAAGACCGGGGATGAGGGAGGGTGTAGGTGGCTGGCGCGATAGTCACTCACAGCACTGGACACAGCACATCTGTTAGGTAGGCTCCCGCGTGCGCGGGAGTGCCATAAAGGTCACATTAAGAAGGAGCCATTGTAGCCTGACTCTCAGTCCTCCATCTCCTCACATACGCCCACACAAAAACACGCGTACTGGAGAAGCAGCAGCGTAGATGGCTCGAGTTCTCCTATCAGTTAATTTTTGTCCAATAAGGAGAATACTGGCAAGGAAAAAACACATACCATCCTTGCGAAAGTGACCTCGCGAAGAACTGACGCGTACTGGGGGGACGGGCTTGTGCGACTGGCCCGTGGCTCGATGGATAACCTGCACCCAGCCATGCAGTTCTGCCTCGTCGGGCACGGCGAAGATGAGAGCGTCACCCTCCTTGACCACATTGAAGAAGTATCGGGGGAGCCGGTAGACACCGGATGCACCCGGCAAACCGGACATCTCGGCCCGGCGCGGGGTCTTTGCTGTGCCAGACATACGAAACTTATTCAGTGTAGGTAGGGAGGTAGAGAGGAGGCCACCCGTCTCGGTGGCTAATTCGGCCTTTGCAGCAGCAACTAATCCTGAAAAGGACAAATAAGACTGATCAGATGACTGATAGGTCACAGTCTGAACGTTGAATTCGGATTAACAGTGAGATCGCTGGTGCATTATACGGTTGACAGTATTTTATAATGCTTACAGATTCAGAAGAAAGAGGAGCGTTAACTGGGAGTGGTTTATTATAAGCCTGAGGTTTCGGGTAGTTGTCTCGTCTACCCATCTTCAGAGAATGGAAACTCTGGCCCACAGTTTTCGTCTTTATGTCGCTCTTTCTTTCGTGTGCTTGTTTTGCCAATAATGGCTCGCGCCTCTCGAAATAGGGGTTGCCCACAACCCTACCTGCAAAATCCGACAACAAGTTATGCGGCCGAGAGGCCTTATACCTAAATAAGAGCAGTCAGGCGTTATCTATCGACTTCAGTGCAGCTGCGGGATGTGCAATTATGTTGGGGAAACCGGCCGAAAACTACAAGCGCGAACGCATGAGCATAAGCTAGCTGTAAGAGGGTTGGACCCAAATATAGAGGTAGCAATCCCATGCTGCAGAAATGAGGCAAGAATTCAACTTTGACGCGATTGAAATGGTGGGCCAAAGTGATGATCAAACATCAAGGCAGATTAAGGAAGCCCACTGTTCAGTAAACCGCCACATAAATTTACCGGTCCCCTTTGTTGTTTTAAAAACCTTCTTATCCGGGGACAGAGGAGGCGTGAAACAACCGGAGCCGTCAACCAGCACCACGGCCAATGTGTGTATGTCTGAAACAAGTCGGGGCGCGACG